TGAATGTTTGTCTTCTTAAAATTCATATGTTGAAAACTAACCCCCAACGTGATGGTATTAAGAGGTAAGGCCTTTGGGAAGTGATTATATCATGAGGGCTCTGCCCTTATGAATGGGATTGGTGTCATTATACAGGGGCTTGAGGGAGTTTGTTTGCCCCATTGACTCCTTTCTCCAGGTGAGGATGCAACAAGAAATGTAATGTATGAAGGAGAGTAAGACTTTACCAGATATTGAATCTGCTGCCACCTTGATCTTGTAGTCCACAGCCTCCAGAACTGTGAGAAATAAATTTCTACTATTTATAAGTTATCCAGTCTAAGATATGTTATAAAAGTAGCCTGAAGGGACTAACACAGTGAATACAAATAAATTAGATAAAACTAGGCACAGAATAAACCCTCAATAAATGTTATCCATTATGATGATGATGACAATTATGATGATGATGGTGATCACTACTATTATTGCTACTACTATCACTCTTACAATGGCAGCACAGGATTTTTGGAATCCATTTACATATAAGGGATACAAATCTAGCATACATAATATTTAAATGAAGCCTTTGTAGTATGTTTTCCCTCCTAATATTCTCTGAGTATCCAGAAGGCTGAGAAAAGTACAAAGGCAGCCATGAGGAAAGCTGGAATAGGATCCTAAATTTGTCCATGTATATTCCATAAAGTAAATAATTTACTGACAGAGAATTCCTGAGCTTACTCCAGCATTAACAGAAAATTTACTAAAAAGGGAAAATTCAAAGTATGGAATATTCTATATCCCCAAAAATGTGGAAATAGGAGCAGTGCAGTTATTTGAATGAAAGACAAGCCCAGAGGGTGATGCTGGGAGATGAATTTCATCACCATGAGTGTATGGTAACTTACTTACCTTTTGCCTCTGAATTAAACACATTCTGACATCCTACACTTCATGATATAAATTTTAATACATTCTTATAATAAATTCCATTAATTATGCTATAATCATATCTTCATTAACAAAAGTAGTGACATTTAAGCTTGCTTAATGTTTAACACAAATGATAGACAAAGGGAAGACAAGTCACTTAGAAGGACTGCAGATTAAAGCTGCCCACCATCTCTTAAGTTTTTTGAAATGGTCAGTCAGCACCTCTCTACACAGATACTTTTGGGAAAGGGGAGGAGAATAGGTAGAAGGAGACTGTCTGATACAGCCGACATATTGTTGCAAAATTACAGTTATTGCCCCCCCCCACACTTCACACAGCTTTATACAGTCCATGCCACAAAACATACCAAGCAAACAACTGACACATTAGTTAAGAGGCCTTCCATTTTACTTTGACAGTTCATGATAATGGAATTTAATTGTGGAAAAAGCAGAATAATTTTAGCTGAATGTCATTTGGTTCATTCAAACTGGGAATCAGGGACATTTTTAACAAAGGTTTTGAAACTTCTTTTGAAATCAGGAAGCTGCTTTGCACAGATAAGAGGAGAGGTTTGAGGATTCTCTATCAGAAATTTCAAGGTTTTTTCCATCTGCTTTTTCACATTAACTGGTAATTATCCAGAAAGGCACATAATAGTGCAGAAATGACAGAAGCCAACAAAGGTTTTCCTAAGATATGTAAATTGTCAGTGATCGGCAAGGTGCAACAGAAAGGCTTTCTACAGCACAATTATTTATGCCAGTTCAGTTTGCTTTTAGGTAGCAGTGATGGCCTGCTACAGAGCAGCTCCTTATCATGGGCCCTGCACATTAGCTTCCACCAGTCACTAAGAAGAAAATGTGGCAAAAAAGGTTGCTTAAAAGGATGGTATTTGTCCCTTATTTAGAGATTGTTTTCTGAAAAACAGTATTTTGATGATCAGGCTGTCACATTAAACAAAAAATATTTCCTTTAATTTCCCAGAATGCTATATCTATTGGAGACTTTCCAGTTATATATACATCAGAGTTTGATCATATTATGAATGTGGATCTCATCAGGACTCTATAGACATTCAAACCATGTATCCCATTGGTAACCCACGTAGGTTTTCTAGGACTGTCTTACTTTTTGCCCCAATTTTGTTTCTTTATTGAGACTCTTTTGGCCTATAAATGTTTGCCAGGTCCCATAAAAAAGAATATCCTGGCAAATTTGACTTGTCCAGGGCCCTGGCTTCATTCACTTTATACTTGTTCTTGTTTCCTAACAGTTCCAAAGGTTTACTAAATTTCCTGATGTATAGAAAGAGCAAAATAAGTAATAATAATAATATAAAACATAAAAGAGCAATGATATTATTATTTATAATCATTTATGGATTGTTTACTAAAAGCCAGGAATTAACTCAATCTATCCTCACAACAATCATAAGAAATGCTTTATTATTTACTGGCAGAGAATTCATGAGCTTACTCCAGACTCAAAAAAGCTCATTAACTTGTCCAAGAACGCACTTTATATATACTAAATTAGAATTTAAATCCCAGGACTGTTTTGTCTCTGAAGTCCACTATCTAAGTCACTAGATGATAACATTTCTACAATGAAAAATTTTTGAAAGAATAAATAAATGATGACATTCCTTATTGCTTACCTCTCTCCAGAAATCTCTGTTTTATATCTCTCTCTTACTTTTTCAGTTAGATACCCATCCATTTTCTTTCCATTCTCAGCTTTAACTCTGCCTCATGGTTCTGTATCTCTCTTCTGCTCCATTATTATGTGAGCAGCCTTCCAGATGAAACCCCTCACTTGACACAACCTTTAGGGCCCCTCCCCTTGAGTCCTATTTCTATACATTGTCACAGTCTTCCCCAGTCTTGTATGTATGATCTGTATATTTGAGGAAAATATATGTTTCCAAAGAGAGTCTTAAAACATTTCTTTCAATTTATATTTTGCATAAACAGTGTATTCATGAGACTTAACTTTTTCACTGGCCTTTCTAGGAGGCAGCCAATACTGTACAACCATCTATCCTTGGTTGAAAAAACAATTATGTAATGGTTTATCAAAATGCTCTGTCAAAGACAAAATATTGTCATAAAAATAAATTTAATTTTATTTTTTCTTCCTAGTTTCCTGAAATATTGTTAGCTGTAAGTATATCCCAAGTGTTTCTAAGGGTGACAACAAAAGAATCAAGACTCCGGATAAGGTTTAACATTGAAATTAGTTACATTCACATGTATCTGCCTAGTAAAGTAGTATTTGAAGGTCTTCATCCCAAACTTTCCCCATTATCAACAATGTTGCCTGAAATTGTACATTTGGACTTCCAGGAATGTTTGAATATGAAGGAATCATAATAATTGATTCCAATTCCTTTAGAGTTTTATAGGTGAGCTAACTGAAGTCAATAGAGGCAAAGCAGCACAACTCATCAGAATCTGAAGAGGTACAATGTACAGGGCATGCCAGTTATAGTATTTGACTTACATAAAATTTCCATCTGTGTGAAATTTCCCAACCCAAATTCCCTGCACAATGAAGCAATACCAACCTAGTGTTTTTGTGTGGTGTTTTGTTATACAAAGATGACCACACATGGAACCATGAATGGACACAAGGAAACACAAATTGTTCACTGACTCATGATAGAGCCTGACAAAATATTTGCCAAATTTGAGTAATAAAAATTAACAAAAACAACTATATTAAATATGATGGATTCTTGAATTTCAACTGGAAAATATAAAATGGATTTCTGAGTTAAAACTAAAAGGATAGAGCAGGTGCATAGAGAAAAGCAAGAAATCCATGATAGAAGTAGATATGCCATGAAAGAGGAAGACCACAAGGGAGGAGGGGAAAAGGGAAGGGGAGGGGAGAAGGAAGAGTTGGAAAAGAGAAGTAGGGAAGGGCACAGGAGGAGGAGAGGGACACAGAAGAAGATAGAGAGGGAGAGAGAGGGAGGGAGAAATATAGAGAGAAAGAGCAAGTAGTCATTCATAGATATGCTGCTTTGGATCCTAAAGGCTTTGTTTCCAATTCCAATTAATATGGATTCTGATAACAAATTCACTCTTCTTCAAGTTGGTGTCAGTGACTCTTTGGAACACAAAGAGTTTAAGTAAATATGTAAGCTAAGGCCACTTGTTTTGTGAATATAAAAAGATGAAACATACTCTATCTTAGAACCAATATATATTGTCTTTTGCTTCCTCGACGTGTCTCTTTTCTTTGTACCCTATGATTATCATTGAAGTCTTTCTAAACCCCAAAGCTCTACTCTGAAGGTTGAAATGTCAGTACATTAAAACTAAACCTTGACTGGTATCTCTTTGAACACAGAGAAAACATATGAGAAATTTTATTTATTGATATATTTATTTTAATTGAAAAATAATAATTATATATGTATTGTGTATAATGTTTTCATTTGGGTGTATATTATAGAAATATTTAATCAAGCTATTTAACATAATTAATATATGCATCACCTCACCAATTTGTCATTTTTGGTGACCAGAATCAATATTACATGTTTCAAAATTTCTAAGAAAGATTTTTAATATTTTTAGCATAAAAAATGTTTTTAAAATTACCTTAGCCGAAAAGCAGGCTGAATCTGAGCTGACAGTTGTTTTTCTGTGTGATATTAAATGATGACATTGCCAAATCAAGTTAGAAATGATGATTATTGCCAAGGACTGGGATATCAAATTTTAAGAGCACATGAATATGTAGGATATTAAATATTTAAGGTGACTGGAGGAAATGATGTTGTTATAGAAGAAAAACCAATCTATAGTTTCTCAACCACTGTGCAAACAATGCCAATGAAGCTATGTTGGCCTTATCTATATTCTTTTAAATACTTTCTAGGAAAATGGTAATTTACATTTCTATAGAACTATTAATTCAAGTACTTTCACCTGCATGTCTCTTTAAAGAAAACAAAAACAAAGTAAACCTGCCTTGTCAATATATTAGGATCTGGATAATAGTCCAGATTAGCATAACTCATGTTTAGCTCTTTTAAAACTTGTTTAAGTAGAACTTTTTTTTTTTGAAGTGCAACAAATGCTTTTTATTGTATGCTCATTTCAATGAGTAACATTTAGAAATAATAATCCCACATAACAGTGACGATCTTATTTTACAGCGTGTACATCATTTACAGCCACATAACACACAATTTTAGTAGATTTTCCAAAGTTAATATTCTGAAGTTAAGAAAGATAAAAAATTTATTCTCAAGGAATGGATTCTTATCTGGTGCAAAAACAGAAAGGTGAACATTTGAAACACAAAGCCACAATATAGCATGAAGTAAAATTACATTTTAATTATGTTGAACAGCTGAATGTAAACATGAAACAACTAAAACTTAAAAGTACACATCATATGCATTACATTTATGAACAGGATTTTCATTAAATTTCCCTAAACCAGCTTTTAATATTAAGCGCCATTTTGATTTGCAGCATGCTAACACAAAGCGTTGTTAAAGGGATGCATATTTTAAATTTATACACTGTAAACTGAATATCCACCTCCGAACTCTATTGGCAGTATATTGTTATGTTAAATACTGCATAAATACTGCCTCATATTAAAAATGCATGTTAATAATATGGTATATCGATTTTAAAAATCAAAAGTTTCAATAATGGCATAAAATTGCACCTTTAAACATTAGAGCAAGTAAGACTAGAACAATCATACTTGCTAAGACTGTCCTAAAAAACCCTCTAGACATTATAATACTTAAGAAAACTGTGTTCTCTCAATTTAATCTTTAGATCATTAAGAAATATAGTGCTGATTTTGTTTGCAACACTACTGCTGCATCCATTTTAGAAAGCCACATTTGACTCAAATATATTTTTTATATATGCCATACTGAACAACAATCAACTTGAACATCCAAAAAAGGGAATTTTAATCCTTATACTTTACCTTAGACTTCAGCACAGAATGCTATATTTTAAACATCCTATCCTGTGATAAGATATTAGCAGCTTTGAAATTTTTTTAATAGTACTGAATTAATCTAACCTGTTTTCTAGTGAATTTTCTTTTAATGAATACACAAAACTTTTTTCATTTCTGGAATTCAATTTCCAGGTACAATATAAAAATCTCAATGAATAAGTGACTGATGGATGACTGCATTTTATTTCCCCACCCAATTTCTAAAATTTCTTAAAAGTGAGGCTTGCTTGCTATTGCAAAGCATTGTTAAACTCAATTATGTATTCTTTTCAGAAACATTTGACTGTAGTATGATCAGCCAAATCAAGTATTTGTCTTTGCTTTTCCCCTCTGTAGTTTTAATACTATTAAATAGACACTTAAGAAGTTTTTCTGTGACCATTCTATGGTGCTTCTTAAATTATTTAAGAAATTTTCAAAGGGCTATGAGATCCCCTGTTAATTCAAATGTTTTAAGATCTTTAATACAAAGAATGTAAAGTTATGATTTAATATCAAGCTTTGAAACCAGATGAAAGTTAGTGAGATTTTTCTCCCATGTAGCATATCATATTTTGTAAATAACTTCTTTCTTTATATTGATCTTATTACATAAGAGCCTCCTTGTGGTGCCTCATAATATGCTGATTTTTTTCTGATGGTCTTCGGAATCCCTTCTTGCAGAATTCACATCTGTGTGGATAGTCTTTTGTATGTATTGATATCACATGTCGTTTAAAGCCAGATGCATCTGTAGTGCTGTATTCACAATACTCACATTGGTAAATCTTCCTTCCAGTATGGGTCTTCATATGCTTTTTGAGCTCATTTTGTTGCCTGAATCCTCTCTTGCACCTTTTACACTTCAATGACTGATCCTTAGTATGAACTGAAAGGATATGGCCACTAAGAATAAATGGATCTGATGTTTTAAAGTCACAGTGCCTACACTGATGAATCTTCCTACCCTTATAGATATCACTATGCTTTTTGAGCTCAGAAGGCCGATGGAAACCTTTATCACAGACCTCACATTTGTGAGGAAAATCCTTAGTATGGACAGATATGATGTGCCACTTAAGGTCACTTGAATTGGTGCTCTTGTGGTCACAATGAGGACACTGGTGTGTCTTGTGTCCTTGAAACAAATCCAGATGGCGCTGAAGCTCCCTCTCATCACCAAATGCTTGGGGACAGTGCTCACATTTATATGGCAAATTGTTACCATGCTTAGACTTAATGTGAGTTTTCAGATTTGACTGATCTGCACACCTGAAGACACAATACTGACACTGATATGGCTTCTCACCAGTATGGGTTCTCATATGTTTCTTGAGTTCAGAAGGATGTCGAAAACCCTTCCCACACTCAACACAAACATGAGGAAAATTCTTGCTGTGAACAGCCAACAAATGTCTATTCAATAGTCCTTGTTCTGCAGTTTCATAGTCACAGTATTTGCACTTGTGCATCTTCGGCTCCTTGTCTCTTAAGATAAGTTTATTCGAACTCAGTGGACTAGCCTCTCTGTATCTCCGTGTGTATTCTGTAAATTCATGGGTTTTGTCAACTTTGTTTATAAGCTTATGGCTTTCTAAGTGGTTATGAAAACTCACTTTCTTGTTAGTTGTAAAGTCACAATCTGTACACTGATATTTTTTTCTCATCAAATGATCAGGATGATTCTTCATGTGTCTTTTTAAGAATCCCCTGGATTTAAACTTTTTTGTGCAAATATGGCAAGGGTACACTGTCAGGGGCTGTCCATCAGGACCTATTATAACAGCTAGATAAAAAAAAAGGAAGTTGTGACATTTGGTCAGACTGTTTTAAAGGATTTTACAACAAAGGCGCCAAATAGTTGCCATTCACTATGTGAAAACTATACTGGTTGAATAAAATCCTGCAGGATAAAAATGCACACTAAAAGTTTTACTTTATGGTAAAGTAGCTCACTAAAAAGTAATAAATGGCATTCTAATATGTCCTCATCATCTACCAAAAGCAGAAACAAGCACCCTTGTTAAACCAAACTAAAAATTATCTTAAAACATCTTTTGCATAAAGAGAAAACAAGCATAGTTTTATTAAGTACCAGTTACACACACTGCAAAAAAGGAAACCCCGATTATCTATATCATATACAAACAGGTACATGGGAAGTAGGACTACCATGTAAATAACCGATTTTTCCCTTTTGGCATAGAAAAATACTTCCTCATCTCAAATCATTATAATATTCATAAAGCAGAATATTTTACCTGTTTGCCACTGCCTGGTTTCTCCCCTTCTCCTTTTCTTGGCTTTTTGTTTAAGTACTTTATTTGTATTAATGCTATCACAAATTTGAAGGTACTGGGCTGCTGTACTACTTCTATTTTCTAATGTTGAATCCAAAGTATTTCCTGATGCTTGACAATCTTCATACCTTCGAGAAACTCTTCTTTCATCTCTTATATCATCTTCTTCTTGGGAAGAATCTTTAACTGCCATGTAAACCATCTTCTCCCGCTGCATTCAGCTCTGGTCAAGCACTCCAGCTACAGAATGCCCACTGGTATACTCGCTCTCTGTGACAATTTCTGTTCCACCTATCTCAACATCATCTTCAGCCTCTGCTTTAAATATATATACTTTTATTACTTCTGAACCAAATCCATCTTCTTTAACATCTTCTTGTGAACCATCACTGCCGATTTTTAATGATGTGTTCCCCATATGCTCTAATTTCTCTCCAACATCATCCAAAGATATCATTAAATAGTCTTCAGAAGTGCTCTTGACGTCATCATCATCATCATCTTCGGTTTTTATAGTAACTGTAGAACCAGGAACGCCACCAGCTGCTTGAATCACAGTTTCTGTATCTGAATTAGTTACAAGAACCTCCTCTGATACCCTTGTGGGAGAGTCAACTCCTGACACACAATCTTGGACCACATGTTCCAAGTGTCCATCAGGACCAGTAACAAGGTCAGCCACAAAAACCTGCTCAGGTACCCTAACGGTTTCTGTAATTAGTTCAGAAGTCAAGATATGATCACCATCATCTTCCTCTAAGTCTTCTTCAATGGCAACATCAGCTTCAAGTACAGCTTCAGGGACAATCACACCTTCTGTTACTACATCAGTCTCTGCGATGATATCAGGACCATGGACAACCTCAGCTGCAAGGCCATGATCAAGAGTTATCCCATCATCTGTGACAACATCAGAAACTAATACAGCTTCAGGAACTGAAACAACAATATGATCTCCATCGATATGCGCAGTACCAGCCATTCCAGCCACAAAATCCTGCATAATCATGGTATGGGCCATTCTAGAGTCTGACGTGTGTAATCCAAGACTTCCACCACCTGAATCCATACTTAGCAAAGTTCATTCACAAATATTAGAGGACTCAGATGTCTAGTATTAGTGAATTTCATCCAGTGGTTCTCATCCATTTCTTCCAGACCCAGTTCAGCTCTGCAGCGAAGCTCTGCAGATAAACGTGTATTCACCTCTGGTTCCTGGTGTTCTACTTATAACGTAAAATGTTCTATCCCAGTTTCCCTGGAGTTCTTTGAACCAGTAAGAACTTCTGGCCTCACTCTACTACATTCTCTCGTCTCACAGTTTTGAGGACTCATGAAACATGACTGCTACCTTTATATCAGTGTCTCAAAGAAACTGTAGATATTTTTACATATTGCAAAGTAAAATCTGCAGCAATGTCTTTTTATTTTTCCTTCTGAACTATGTTATTTTCTTTGGGAAAATGTTCTCTTTACCTGCGGCGGCCGCCGCCAGTCAGACTATGACCGCGCTAAGTAGAACTTTTGATGAACCTGAATTGTGCAGATTAATTTATTTTTTAGAAGGAATTGCTTTGTGGAAGGAGATAGATGAAAATTGATATAAAAGATTTAGTGTAAACTCTATTTTGATAATTTTCAGGGTATCTTTAAGTCAGTTAATATTCAGATCAACCTCCTATAAATCTTTCCATAAATTTATATACATAAAACAATAGCATAACCCCTTTTTCCTAATAGAAAATACAAATATTCAAATAATGCAATACACCCATACCAATTATGTTATTCCAACAAGTGTCTTTTCCTCAATTTGCAACTTGATAGCTATTAATATTGCTCATTTAAGGCTTTTGGATCTATTACATGTGATATGAATTAAGTCATAAATTTTTTTTATAAATAAGCTATAAGTAATTAGCTTATTACTATATTCTCAATGTTTGCAACCTCTCCCAAATTCATATCTTGAAATTCTAACCCCAAGGTTATGGGAATAGAAGGTGGGGCTTTTGGGAGGTGATTAGTTCATGAGGGCAGAACCCTCATTAATGGGATTAATGTCCTTATAAAAGAGATCTAAGAGAGAGACTCCTTACCTTTTCTATATGTGAGAACACAGCCAGAAGGTGTTGTCTATGAGGCAGAATGTGGGTCCTTATCAGACACTAAATTTGCCAGCACCCTGCTGTTGGATTTCTCAGCCACTAGAACTGTGAAAAATAAGTTTGTATTATTTATAAACTATCCAAGTCATAATATTTTGTTATAGCAGCCAAGATGGACTAAAACACTTACTATACTCATGGATTTGGCTAAGTTTACACTGGCTCTGTGCCTTACACAGAGTGGTAACTTAGCAGATGCCTTAGTAAATAAACGCTGTACCTTCTGCACCTTATTTGTTCCTCAAAGGCCATGACTTTTCTTCTTTCCAATGGGCTCAGAGACTACATTCCTCTAATAAAATCCCATGGAGAGGTGGCCACACTAAAGAGATTAAAGACTGACAAAATTTACCCCAAATCCTCAAACTCTATAGGAGCATTCACTCAAATTTAGTGCCAAGGAGACAATAACAGGAATGTGGCGCAGGATGTAGGATGACCAACCATCCCAGTTTTCCTGGCACTATCTCAGTTTTAGTATTAGAAGTTACATTTTTTATTAATCATCTCAACACAGGGCAAAACAGAATGGTTGATCACCCTGGCATTAGAGGAACACTGAAAAGTATACAAGCAGAAGAGTTTGAAGTAAACACGAACAGTTGATGTTCCGTGGGTATAAAGTTTCAATTATATAAGATGAATAAATTCTAGAAATCTGCTGTCACACATTGTGACTATCGTTAACAATATCATATTGTGCACTTAAAATTTTTTTTTAAAGTGTAGATATCATGTTAAGTGATTTTTACCACAAAACAAACAAAGAGGCATGAAGAAACTTTTGGAGGCAATGAATATGCTTGTTACTTTGATTGTGGCGATAGGTGTAAGCATATGTCCAAACTCATCAAATTGTATATATTAAATATGTGAAGTTTTTTTTTTTATTTTGGCATATTATGGGGGTACAGATTTTAAGGTTTCAATAAATGCCCATTTCCCCCCCTCCCCCCAAAAGTCTGAGTCTCCATCATGACCATCCCCAGATGGTGCACATCTCACTCATTATGTATATATACCGCCCCCCTCCCCCCCCCACCTGGCCAATACCTATTTACTGTATACCTAGTTCCATAGTGCTACTCAGTATACCAGTTCTGGAGAATATATCTGGTGCTTGTTTTTCCATTCTGGGATACTTCACTTAGTAGTATGGTTCCAGCTCTAACCAGGAAAAATATAGAAGTGCTATATCACCATTGTTCTTAGAGCTGAATAGTATCCATGGTATACATATACCACATTTATTAATCCATTATTGGATTGATGAGCACTTGGGCTGTTTCCACAGCCTGCAATTAGAATTGTGCGCATAAACATTCGAGTACAGGGTGTCTTTTGTTGAGTGTCACTGGATCATTTGGGTAGATGCCCAGCAATGAGATTGCTGGATCAAATGGTAGATTCACTGTATCGCTTTAAGGTACTCCATATTGCTTTCCACAGAGGTTGAACTAGTTTGCAGTCCCACCAACAGTGTAGGAGTGTTCCTCTCTCTCCGCAGCCACGCCAGCATTTATTGTTTGGAGATTTTTGATAAAGGCCATTCTCACTGGGTTTAAGTGATACTCATTGTGGTTTTGATTTCATTTCCCTGATGATTAGAGTTTGAGCATTTCTTCATATTTTGTAGGCCATTCTTCTGTCTTCCTTAGAAAATTTCTGTCAAGTCCTTTGCCCACTTTTAATGGGGTTATTTGATTTTTTCTTCCTAATTTTCGTGAGTCTAAGTATATTCTAGTTATCAGTCCCTTATCGGATCATAGGATGCAAACATTTTCTCCATTCTGTAGGTTGTCTGTTTACTTTCATGATATTTCTTTGGCTGGCAGAAGCTTGTATTTGATCATGTCCATTTATTTATATTTGTTGCTGCTGTGATTGCCTTTGGGGACTTCTTCATAAACTCTTTGCCCAGGCCGATGTCTAGGAGAGTGTTTCCAACTTTTCCTCTAGAGTTCTATAGTTTCATACCTTAGGTTTAAGTCTGTTATCCAGCGTGAGTTGGTTTTGTGAGAGTAAAATGTGTGGGTCCTGTTTACCTTCTACAGGTGGCTATCGAGTTTTTCAGCACCTTTATTGAAAGAGGGATGCTTTCCCCAGCGTATGTTTTTGTCTGCTTTGTCAAGATTAGATGGCTATATGAGGAGGTACTATATCAGTATTCTCACATCTGTTCCACTGGTTCAAATTCCTATTTTTGTGCCATACCATATTGTTTAATTACTACAGCTTTGTAGTATAGTTTGATATAATGCATATTAATGCACCCTTTTTTTTGTTGCTAGAATTGCTCTTGAATTTGGGTCTTCTTTGGTTCCATAAGAGCGAAATTATCTTTTTATATACTGTGAAGAAGCTGAGTGGATTTTAATAGATATTGCATTGAATCTGTAGATCAGTGGTGTAGTATAGACATTTTGATATTGAGTCTGCCGATCCACGAGCATGGTATGGATTCATATGTTTTACATCCTCTGCTATTTCCTTCCTCAGTGTTTCATAGTTCTCCCTGTAGAGCTCTTTTACATCCATGGAATATTTCCTAGGTAGTCTTTATTTCTTTGTTCCTATTGTGAAGGATGAATCTTTGATTTGGTTCTCAATTAGATGTGTGTTGGCGTATATGATGCCTCTGATTTCTGTGTATTGACTTTGTATCCTGAGACTTTACGAAATTCATTGATCAGTTCCAGGATTTCTTGTTGAATCCTTGGGTTTCTAGATACAATATCATATCATCAGCAAACAGTGAAAGTTTGATCTCTTCTGCCCCTATTTGTCACTTTAATTCCATTTTCCTGCTGATTGCTGTAGCTAAGACTTCCATACTATTTGAATAGAGTACGATAGTAGGCAGCCTTGTCTGGTCCAGTTCTAAGTGGGAATGATTTCAATTTTCTCCAATCAGTATGATGTTGGCTATGGGTCTGTCATATATGGCTTGTATCATTTTTAGGTATGTCCTTCTATGCCTATTTTCTTAAGTGTTCGTATCATGAAAGGGTGCTGAATTTTGTCAAAACTTTTCTGCATCTGTTGAAAGAATGTGGGTCTTTCTTTTGCTTCTGTTATGTGGTGAATTGCGCATTTATAGATTTACGTATGTTGAACCATCCTGCATCCCTGGGATGAAGCCCATTGTCGTGGTGGATTATTTTTTGATAAGTGTCTGGATTCGGTTAGCTAAGATTTGTTGAAAATTTTGCATCTATATTCATTAGGGATATTGGTCTGCAGTTTTCTTTTTTGTTGCATCCTTCCTGGTTTTGGTATCAGAGTAATATTCGCTTCATAAAAGGTGTCAGGGAGGTTTCCGTTCTTCTCTATGTTGTGGAATAGTTTCTGCAAGATAGGTACTAGTGCTTCTTTGTAAGTATGGTAAAATTCAGATGTGAAGCCATCTGGACCGGGACTTTTCTTTTTACGGAGATTTTTAATTGCTGTTTCTATTTCAGCTGTTGAGATTGGTCTGTTCAGGGAATCTATTTCTTCCTGTATGAGACTAGGGAGGCTGTGTGTTTCTAGAAATTTGTCCATTTCCTCCACATTTTCTAGTTTGTGTGCATAAAGATTTTTGTAGTATTCATAAATTGTGTCTTGTATCACTTTGGATCAGTTGTGATACTCTTTTTTGTTCCTGATGGAGCTTATTAGAGATTTCTCTTTTCTGCTTTTCGTTAGCTTAGCCAAGGTGTGTCATATTTGTTTATTTTTCAAAGACCATTTTTTGTTTTATTAATCCTCTGAATAACTTCCTGTTTTCAGTTTACGTTTAGTCTGATTTGATTTGTTGATTTCACTTTTTGCTGGGTTTGGGGTGGTCTGTTCTTCTTTTTACTCTTTGAGTCGTTTCATTAGATTGTCTATTTGGTGATCTTCTTGTCTTTTGGTTATAGGCATTTATGGAGATAAACTTTCTCTCAGAACTGCTTTAGCTGTGTCCCAGAGGAGTTGATAACTTGTCTCTCCATTGTCGTTTTCTTCATAGAATTTTTTATTTCCGTCTTGATTTCTTCATTTACGAAGTAATCATTTAGTAGGAGTTGTTTAGTTTCCACGTTTTTGTGCAGAAAGTGAGTTTCTGTTAGGTTGATTTCTAGTTTTATTCCACTGTGATCTGAGAAGGTACATGTTATGGATTTCTATTTTTTAATTTTGAGTTTTCTTTTTGTCCTAGGATATGGTCAATCTTAGAGAATGTCCCGTGAGCTGATGAGAAGAACGTATATTCAGTGGATTTGGGGTAGAATGTTCTGTAGATGTCTGTCAGACCCAATTATTCTAGATTTTTGTTTAAGTCTATTATTCTTTATATTTCTGTTTAAGGATCTGT